TGTGAACAAAAATAATTGCAATTTATAGCTTGTCAGTTAATTATTGTCTAAGGAAAAATTATTTCTATAGTTATAATATATTTTCAGCTTGTTTACATCCGTTTGTTGTGCTAAAAACTGGTTTCCTTCTAAAACAGCCATGCTTTGCGGAAAACATTTTCGCGACGAAGATTATTTATTTAGCCGGTCAATATTTGTTCTCAAATTTCAGTGAAGATATAAAAGAATTTGCGATATCACTGCATTTCTACAACCCCAAAGCGTATTAATTTGTCCGAAAAACACTTCACTTACCCCATCCTGCGACCTCGCGTTCAACGTTACGTGCGAGCCTGGTTTTTTGAATAACACGTTTACACTCTATCTGAAAAATTGAAAAATAGTAAGGAATGTCGAAATGTCCATCCGGAAAGAAACGCAATGGGACAAAAAGCAATCTAAATTTGTTGGCAACGTTAACTATGGCAATACTATAGCTGAAGAATCTGAAAATATTGCAACAAATGTTTTAGTAATTATGGCAGTCGGCCTAAAATCGCCTTTGCAAATACCAATTGCCTATTTCCTGAGACACAAGCCAACCTTATAGTGAGACACAAGCCAACCTTATTGAAGAAGCTATAAAGCTTCTATATAAAGAAAGTATCATTGTTAGATCTATAACTTTTGATGGGCCGCAAGAAAAAATTGCAACCGCCAGAAAACTTTTGCAAAATTAGTGACTTGGAAAGCTCATTCCCTCATCCTTGCCGACCAGATTTAACTATATACATAATTTTTGACATATGCAACATGTTAAAATTAGAGCGGAATGCATGCTTTAGGAGATATGAAGGTCTTTTTGACATCAATTGGGAAAAAAAATTCATGGGCACATGTTGAAGCTTTGTACAATATCCAACAAGATGATATTTTGCATATAGGCAAACTGATCAGTGGTTGAAAGAGCTGATTAGTGGTTGAAAGTGATGTGGTCCGACGAAAGTACATTTAATCTTTTTCCCAATTGTGGAAAAGAGTTCCAACGCAAATGTCTTAAAACCACTGTCAAACACGGAGGTGGAAGTATCATGGTTTGGGGCTGTGTGAGCGGTGCTGGAATGGGCAAAATAAAAAGGTTGGAAGGAAAAGTTGACGCTGAAGCCTATTATCGCATACTACGTCACCAAATGGCGCCCACTATGAAACTCCAAGGTGGCCGGCAGTCTCTCGTTTTTATGCAAGACCATGCTTCCGTGCATACAGCTAAGAAAAATCTAATGTTCCTTGAGCGAAATAGCTATGACTTGCAGGACCATCCTGCCCAATCACCTGACTTAAATCCATTGGAGAATATTTGGTGGGCAATAGAACTAGTACTTTTGGACGAACCTCTTCCTTCTAATGCAAATGATTTGTTCGAGAAAATTGAGCAAATTTGGAACAACTATCCCAACGATAAACTTTTTAAATACATAGAATCAATGCCCAGTCGTATAGAGGCAGTTATTCAGGCCAAAGGATGGCATACCAAGTACTGATTTTGTCTGAAAAAGGTTGTTGTTGATGTGCTATTGATAATTGTGCAACTTGCGTAAATGAACAAGACTACATAGTATGTAGCTCGTAAATGTTGTATTAAAGCATAAGCTTTTGAATACTAAAATATTTTATTTGAAATTCTGTGTTAAAATAAGTTGTTATTATACAGACAAAAAATCAATAAAAAAACTACGTGTCCAATAACTTTTTGGCGCACCTGTATATTGCTATCACCTGGCTGAAGAGCAACCCCAAACTTCAGTGTTCAGGCCAATTTTTTATGACTTAGCCTTTCTCAGTTCCTGCCGGCACAGATTAAATATTATATACATATTTATAGATATATACATACATATTTATAGATATCTATTTTTTTTCTTGCGGTCCGAATTCATATTTTAGCGTTTCCTGCAATCTGATTGGCTATCTGTATGAGGCCGTACGGACCGCTTGAGATTCACACAGAGCCAACCACTGGAGCCACTGGAGGGTTGTTTTTGAGACATTGGGGAATATTTCCCTACGGACCTCCAATCTGGTAAATAACATATATATATATATATAATATGTAATTGCCGTAATTTGTAAAAGATTTTTTCAGACAAAACAATCTGAATTTAAATTTAATAAATGATACGTTTCGATGTTCAATTCATGCAATGTGCATGCTGGAACGTGAACTTTGGACCCTTGACACTCAGTGTTTTTACATGGCGTGATCTGGCGGGGTCCTACCACTGAGCTATATAATAATTCCTGGAGGACCGGCTCCTAATGTTTTGGGCTCAAAAAGTGAAGCAAGAAACATGGCGGATTTTTCGTGCTGACGCCAGATATGGTCCCACTGGGCAATGGTAATGACCACTGACCAACCGCAATCCAAGCCAACCGGCAGACGTTGTTCTTCACCCTCCGGTTTTTTGCGAAAAATTCCCGCCTTGAATAGTTTTTTCAAAGTGTTTACACGTATTTAAAACGTTAACCAAGGTTTTTGAAAATTTTTCATAAATATGCCGCGTTTTTGTTCAGCTTTTGGATGCCGTAACCGATTGTCAAAGCAAGATATTTCTTCCCATCGTTGAGAAACTTCAGATTTACATTTCAAATGAAATATTTAAATGTGTTTTAAAAAACGCGACATAATTCTTACGTTTTTAACTCACGAAAGCAAAACAGCAGATCAATATTGAAATAGGCTTCGATTTATTTCAGCGTTATAAATATAGTTTTTAACGATTTCATATTCTTTTATATTTTACGTATTGTATTTCTGTATATTTTAGATATTGTATTTCTGTATTTGCATATTTTAATTATATTTTGAAGTCACGAAAGACGCCATCACGTTCAACACGTTGCCGTGTAATTGCAATAATTTAGGTAGCCTATATATGTAAGCGCCCTAATTTTACTCTTGAACTGAAGCTTACTATAATAGGTTTGCAAACGATGTATTAATTTAAGTCAGGGTCAAGTACGGTCAAGGGTATAATCCTCATTTAATCTTTCTAACATTCACTCGCATGCATACAGTTAATGGATTTGGTTCATTTGAACACCAGCATTCAAATACTAATTATTGCACTGCATAGATATTCTAATATCTTAGACCATTAGTACATTAATTGTTATTATATAGCTTTCCAGATATGAAAATTTATCCTGAGATACGTGCCATTTCGGTAAAAAATGTAAATAAGAACTCACCAGTCCAGTTTGTACCTACAAATAGAAGCCGGTTATGCTCAGAACATTTTGCAGTGGAGACGAAACAGCAGACTGGAAGCAGAGTGATATTGAAGCAAAATGCTATCCCAACTATATTCTAAAAATCTCAGGTCAATACCAAATATTGCTGGTACAAAATATAGTAATTATTTGCACCAAATAGTTTGAATATGGTTAGATGCATGCCACCGGATGTGACAATATGAACATGGTATATACAGCCTGAGGGTAATTTTAGTATATTTGTCTCATTAAATTGGCTATATATTGTTGAAATTATTAGGGGATAAACAATGGTCAGGAAACTGTAAATGTAATGTTTGAGAAAAAAGGTTTGTTACAAAGAGTAAAATTGGCAAATGAGGTGAGTGAAGGAGCATTAGGTTTGGAGGTCAGAAATGTAATTGGAAACAAGGAAATTGAATATATGAGGGATGGCTCTGGGGCAATCACAATTGAAGGCAGTGTAAGTATGGAATACAACGTAGGTAATGAAGACAGTTTAGGTATTGAGGGGGTCACTGAAGAAATTTCTAGTGATGATGGTGTAAGTATATTTGGAAGGAAAAAGATGAAGTGGTTTTACATGAGGTAAGCACTACTCTGAAAAAGGCTCATATCACTAGAACATCTGGAGCAGTTAATCATGATCACACATATCACACCAGTAAGTCTCCTTGTAGATTGAAACAACAATTCGATGATGTTGTCAGCAAATTGACAAAGTTACGTTACGAATACAAACATGGCGGACAATACTGAAAGTGTTCGTGCAGATGCTGAATGTTTCAGCTCTTTTGGTGATGTTAGAACTAACCTACTAATGTTCGAACAGCTTAAGAAGTATCTCATTATTAACAGCAACATAAATTTAAAGTGGTCTGGCGATTTTGGAATATTAAAAGACATAATTTATTGTGTCTTAAATCGAGCTACAAACTGGATAAAGCCCGGCGGTTCCTGCAGAAAAATGGAGGCCGATGACTTGACGATAAAATGGTACTCTGACAATCATACATTGACGATCTGTGGAAGCTCAAGCGAAGATTTAAAACGGCATCTACGAAGTATTCTGTCAAGCAATCAATGTGCAGTTGAGAGTATCCCAAACAGTCAACATTTTGAGTGTTTATTTGACAAAGCTTCAGACCTGGGGCCGGTTGTTCGAAAGGCGTTTAGCTTAAACGGTGGACAAGTTCAAAATGGAAAACAAAATTATCGATTTATTAAACAACCGAGCTGAAATATTTTGATGTAAAAAGTTTAATTTTCAATAGAAGTACAAATTAAACACATAAGATGCAAGTTAAGTCATTCACAAGATCCATGAGAGTATTCTTAAACTTTGGCTTATCCACCGTTTAAGCTAAACGCCTTTCGAACAACCAGCCCCTGGCCGAAAGTCCTGAGCGGTATCTATCATCAGGGGTAAATAATTTGTTTGATACGAGTTATTTAGCAAATTCTACAACAATATTAGGCAGAATATCTGCGATGGAGGAGAAATTAAATAATAGAATTGATGAAGTTGCCCTTCAAGTATGCATATCTAGGAGAGCCGATGAATGTAATTTAGAGCTGTCACGCGATTATATAACCAGCATAAATAATGAAAATGACAGGCTAAAAACCGAAAACATTACGCCTTAAGCCGGTTTTCCACTAGCGCTATTTTTTGCGCGAAGCGACATTTTACTTTTGTTTCAGAGCTCTCAACTGCAACCATCTGGAACAAATTGCTCAAATACAAAGAAATAAAGTCGCTTCGCGCGAAAAATATCGCTAGTGAAAAACCGGCTTTAGACAGAAGTTTGAGTATTTTACAATGGTAATTTCGGACCTAAATACAAAAATTAAACAAATGGACGAAGAAAAACAGAGTTTGGTTGTGGCGTTAAGGATTTTACAAGAGAAAGAGATCTCAAAAGAAAGTGGGAACAAAAAATCAGCCTTTACTGAGGTGGCTAAAAATCAGAAACAACACACTCCTGAAATCCCCAAAAGTATGTCTCCTAGCCCACATAACAACACAAAAAAACCGCAACATAACAATACATATGATGTACCAGCAATTGAAGACGATAATGAATCCAATGATGATCAGAATCTAGCTTCGAAAAGTCAAAATACAAACATTGAAGAGCATGGCGATCAAGAAAGGTCTACTGTTAATGGTCAGACAGAAAGGGATGGACATCAACAAACTGATGAACATACCGAATCGCAACCAGCAGAAAAAGCTAGTACTGCAAATTCTGAATACCGTGAGGTAAATAATCATAGAACAAATGAAACAACTAGGCAGTCCTCGTTGATCATTGGAGATTCCATGATCAAGCGTATCAAACCACAAAAGCTATCAAAGAGCCCTGTAAGCAAAGCAAGTTTTCCTGGGAAAAGGGCAGAAGAAATTATACCTGAAATAAATGGAATGCAGAGCAATTTATTAAGCTCTTCAAAGGTTATTATTCATGCGGGCACAAATAACCTTTCAACCGACACAAGCAAAGAGTGCTGTGATAACATTGAAAACCTTTGTAAATGCTATCCAAAATAAAATGCCCAATGCCAAAATTGGTGTGTCTGGCCTTGTAGTCAGAAAGGATATAGACGTAGAGTCTAAAATCTCTGAAACGAATGAACTACTTAAAGATATGTGCAAGAGAAGAGGATACACATTTATTAACAATTCAAACCTAAACGAAAGCTGTCTTAATGGAAGCAAGTTACACCTAAATCCTAAAGGATCTTCCTTCCAGGCTGTAAATTTCATCAGATTCCTGAGAGAAGGACGAACACCACCATCTGATTAACATCGTTCAAACCGGGAGGATTTTCAGCTAGATACCCTGCATCGCCTTGCAGAACTATTGAAAATAGTCATGACTCATCCACAAGTTCCAGGGAGAACGAGGACACATCGATAACTTCTCTGCAGTGTGACTATACATCCGTAAGTGAATATACTTCTGAGATTATTAATATTAATAAGGTAAAAGGCTTTAAGATTGCAAATCTCAATGTTAATAGCCTTTTAAAACACATTGATGAAATTAGGCATATATTATCTATTAGTCAAATTGATTTCCTAGCCATTAATGAGTCCAAAATTGATAGCTCTGAAAAAATGAAATTCAAATCCCAGGATATAACACAATTAGAAAGGATCGCACTAGATTTGGGAGCGGTGTGGTTGTTAATATTCGGGAACATCATTCATATTTAGAGAGAAATGATTTAATTACTGGGTGCCTTGAAATGATCTGCGTGGAAATTTCAAAGCCTCATGGCAAATCTTTTATTATAAGTGCTTGGTATAGACCTCCTCACTCCGAATCTGATCTGTGATTTATTTGAAACTTTCCTTAGTAAATGTGATAATGAGAACAAAGAGCTTCTAATTATTGGTGATATTAATTGTGATTGGTTCAGGTCAAAACATGATCCAAACACTAAAAAGCTTTTATTTTTAAGTACATTATATAGTTTGCAACAATTAATTGATGAGCCTACTAGGGTGACACAGACCTCACCAACTTTAATTGATTTATTGTTTGCAAATCGGCCTGAAAATATTAGCTGTAGTGGTGTTATTGATCTTGGCATATCAGATCGCAGCTTAATTTATGCTGTCCGAAAATATTTAATCCCCAAGTCAAGGCATGTTCGCAAAGAAATACGAAACTATAAAAATTTTAATGAAAATGATTTTATTGATGATTTATCAAATGTACCTTGGTCTACTATTCCGCAATTCGAAGATCCAAATGATTGTTGGAAAGCTTGGCATTATCTATTTCTCGAAGTTCTTGATCGACATGCTCCCTTACAAAGAAGATTTATTAAGTCCTCTCAGGCTCCATGGATTAATGCTAATATTAAAAAATTAATGAGATCAAGAGAGTTTCATAAAAAGCGTGCTAAGAAATTTAATTCCAATACTCACTGGGAAATATACAGAAGAGATCGAAATGTTTAGGTAGCGGATGCAAAAATTGTTCTTTGGTAGTTTGTTAAGAGTTCGATGCTATTGTTTCACATCTGATGCAAGCGTTTCCTGCCAAAGGGCTTTAACAACTATACTCTGTGAAACAAGCTTGTTCACTTTGTTTAATTTCTCGTCTCTGATTTCCTTCAGAACTTACCGACAATTATTGAAACGATCATCCTGAATAATTACAATCCGATCTTGTACTACTGCATGCATACATGTCTAGCGTCTTCATTAGTCGAGTTCTTTAACTGATTTCTGAAAGATACCTGACCCTGAGCATGCTTAGTGGAAACATCAGTAATGTTTAAGCCAAACTTTGTTCTTGCCAAAAGAACAATGTCAAGAGTACAATTGGGAGGAATCTCTAGCCATCTACGTAATTTATTATGACACCGGTTATCGAAATTTTCTTTTATCCATGTCTTTTCAACATCAGCGATAGTTAAATGCCAAGAAAGTTTTGACATTAAGTAACGAGTTCCAATTTGTAATAACTACCACCACTACCACTACCACTACCACTACCACTACCACTACCACTACCACTACCACTACAACTTTTTTGTATCACAAATCTTAGTTTGCCCACATGCTGCATATCATCAGCCAAAGATGCCTCATGGTTTAATTACATGGCTTTAATTATTAATTGGCAATTAATTTAGAAAAAGAAAGAAATGAATTCAAGAGGAAACAAAAGGAAGAAAAAAAAGGAGAAACAGAACTTAAAATCAAGCAAAGTCAAAATGCAGGGATGACTATCAATCAGATGACACCATCCCTAATTCTCCACAAGACCGTAGTCCGAGCGTCAGCCCTTTGGGGGGACATATGCTATTGCTGGGATTCATGAAGGCTTTGCCAATGTCGAGAACAGATTGGCAAAGAAAGAACAAAAAGATTGCTGGATGAAGAAATTGATTGCCTAAAGGAAAACTAAGGCGAAAGAAGAGGAAAGAGAGTGCTCCAATGTGCCAGCCATTCCTGATGGTGAAACTGAAAGCACTATGGAGCAGCAAACAAAAACACTAAAGGGAATTTATCACAAAGGCAGTGAAGACTATAGCCTGGTGAAACACCTAATGGATAACACTTGTGGAAAGAAAAGACAAGAAATTGTCTTGCATAATACAAGAATCTGGAATAATCTACAGGATTATCCTTTTCTGAAGGATGACAAAGGTGTTCAGGAACAAAAGTTTAGATAGATCACAAAGGTGTTGTGTTATGTATATTATTGGCAGTATGTATCAAAGCAGAACCAGAAAGAATTCAAGGAAACATGAGATTGGAATAGGAATAATGGAGCAGAGGGACGAGAAAAACCCCAAGCTTTTGTTTGCCCGGAAGAAAACTCAGTCGCGTGACGTTAAAACCATCTTAGAAAATTTGACGAATGCAACGCATCAGATAAAAGGGGTATAATTACACAATTATTAATATATACAGGTAAATTTCATATTCTCAGGCTTACTATATGAATAATATTTTTTTATATTAAGAATATTATGAATTCCTGAAATAATACTTATTTGCCATTTAATTATCTGTAGATTTGGAAGACCAATGAACATTTGTATCGCTACCACACACTCTTGGTGAGAGAGGTTTGACTCCAGGAGAGTTCTTTTCGGATTTTCTATTTGTAAATTATCAGTATCATATGTAAGCATGATCTACTTTCACCGTCACCGTCACTATCGCCGCTACTACGCACCGACATCTTCTATTACGCACCAATGAGGAAGCTCATCGTGTGAGAGTCGGACCTGTGTTAGTGCACAACAAGAAGCCGTCACCGCTACTACGTATATGTTAAGCTTCTCAACGAGTGGTTGGACCTGCCTATAAAATCGACGAAAAACGAAAATGCGCAAAAAGCTCTTGCGAGGAACAATAACATTCTTTTACGAAATAATAAAGCCGCTCAATCCGTTTTGCTGTATTGTGCGGAATTATATAAAAAAGGAAACCTCAAGAAAGGACAATTGCGCTTATTGGCGTGGAACTGTGGCTTGTAAACATCAGGACGTTGTTATTCATGTGGCTATAAACGATCGAGATGAAAATATCCTTTAAGCTGGAATTTGAAGGCGATGTTTTTCCACGACATAACAAAACCAAAAGCCGCAAAAATGGTAGGATAACGACGCGGTGTCGCAGTGCAAGAATACGAAAAGAAAAACAACGCACCATCAAAATACCATCGAGACAAATGGATGGAAATCTTTTTACTGCTATCTCGCATCTTCAGCAATCCATATCAGAGAAGGATGAAAAAGATACTATAGAACTAGGACATGTGGAGAAAGTTGTTTGGTTACATTCAACACTTTAATTTAACAAGTAACCTCAATTAAGTAATGTTCAATGAAGCATCTGTAAGACTTTACCATATATATTGATACACCAGTGAAATATCACAATTTCTAAATATCTCATCACTCTTTATATTATTGCTGAAAAGATTCGGCCGAATAGATAAAGATGAGCGGCAATAGTAAGCAGTAAGAAGTAAAAAGTCTAAGATTTTAAGTTACTTGCTTAAACCTAGTATAAGAAAGCGTGTGGTTTAGCCTTATTTTTTGGTTCTCGCCTTTTACAGAGCTTATAATTCCAAACTGCTGACCACCTTTACCGTAAACAAAAATGAATATTTATATTTTTACCAACGCTCAAAATCGGCATATATGTAAATTTTTGTCACAGAAATTATTGCTTAATTTTACTGGTTTTTTGGTGGTTTTTTGTTGTATTTCTTCGCAATTTAATTACAATTTGTGTTGCGATGCCTAAAGATTACAAAAGAAAGAAAAATCGAAAGTTTACGGGCAATCGCTACGGCGCTTAACCAGCGAAGAAAGCGTGCGTCGATAATGCAAATGACCTCATGCACTCAGAAGCGTCTACTTCAAGCGATGATTTCCTTTTTTTCCAAATGGCTGTGAAAACAATAAATGATGCTACCAATGAGCTAAGGAATGATCAGTCAAAGGAAATCAACCATTGTGCTGTTTCTTGTGATGGAACATGGCAAAGACGGGGCCATTCTTCCTGGAATGGGTGCGTGACAACGCTGTCAATACAGAATAGGAAGTGCCTTGATGTCGAAGTTTTTGAGTAAAGTGTGTCATGGTTGTCAGAGAATAGAAAGGGAAGTTGACGTGGGAAAAAAAGCTACAAAGAAAGCAAAGCATGTTGGTAAGTGTAAGGCGGGTTGCAAAAGCAGACTTTAAGTCAAAAGAAGAGAACAAGAAAAAAAGGTGTCAAGAAGAAAAGTGATAAGCAGAAACAAGAGGAGGGTACTTTCTACAGACCAGGAGGATTTCGAGAAATTCACGATACAATTTATGTCGATGACACCAATTTAAACCTTGTCAACTCTAACAGTAAATCTAAAACCCTGTTTTTCTCAGTTTCCAATTTCCGCTCGTTTCGCCTTAAAACATAATATTCATGCTATTGGGTTGAAACGTTCGCAACTAGCATATATATACTTTGTATATATACATTCTAGTATATATATACTTTGAAGAACATTCGCCTAGAACGCTGTTCCCATATAAACTCAATCCAAATTTTGGCAAGGTGGTTGGTTCAGTGTGCCGGTCAAAAAGAATCCTACCGCGCCAACATCTGTACCGCATGCTAAGAAGAGAAAGTTAAGTGAAGTACCTCAACTACCTGAAGGGGAAACCCTGTGAGGAGCACAGGAGAGTTCTGATTAAAGAGATTCTGATTAGAGAGACAAAAACAAAGAAAAACCCGCATATCATCAAAGAATTAATGGACATCACACTTTTTCACACATTTTCAAATTTCATGCGAATATTGTAGTCAGTATTTTAAAAAGTTTTCATCTTTTAAGTCACATCTAAGACGAAAGCATGATATCAACGAACAAGGCATAGATAATGAAGACGTCCAAGTACTCGAAGACATGTTTCCTGAGCCAGATACCAACACGAATGAAGATTCCAATGGCAATGCATCCGATGATGATGAGGATGAACGACTTGGAGGCGATGTCAATGATGAAAATGAT